AGAGAGAGAGAGAGAGAGAGAGAGAGAGAGATTTTAAATTGAATGAATTTTCAATACTGAAGGCAAATATAAAGCAAATATTGATTTGACAGACTATTTGAATGTCAAGATCGCGGACTAATTGCATAAATAAATAATTAATTTGATTACAAAAACTAATTTATACTATATTACAGTCATGTGTGCAATGAATTAACAGCAATGAGTTTTGAGAAGTAATACACATTTAATTAATTATTTAAATTTAATGAATAATTGCTCCATATGAATTATTTTATGTCTACTTTTGTTTTACAATATAACGAATAAATAAAATAAATATTATGCTTTTTATTCTTATACAGAATTTCAGTACAAACTTAATAAGTTTTGGACATACAGTGTGTTTAGTATTTCGTATGAAATATTTTATAATTTCATTCTCATTATGTCATTAATTTTTGTATTATTCTGTAATCTAAGTCACGGAATATAAAAATCCCCGTCTATTATATCGATCATTAATACAATGAATGAATAATAATATTATTGTTTTATAAGAGCAAAGCTTTGTTTGTCTTCACTTCGCAGTCAGTTTTGAATGAATTTCACTGAAAGAAAGTCACAGAATATGAGATTTCTTATAATCTGGAGAGTGTTTAGAGAATCCAAACATAAGCTAATGCTTTGTTAAGTAATAGAAGTGTTGAAATATAGCTCAATAATAATGTAATTACAACAACTATTGTATACCGTATAAAAAGTTTTACTTTTTAAATTAAAATTTCTTTAATTGTGGTTTAATTAAAACAACACTTGTTTTCATGGATTCGTATGTTTTGGTTTTATGTAAGTAATCAATTGTTTTAATAAAACTTTATTGTTTATAAAAATTGTAATATAAATAACAAAAATATAAATATATATAATTTCAAATGATTTTATATCATTAATGCAAAAATTAATGTATAAATCAAATTGAAAACAACACAATAAATACTTGATTAATATATTTGTTAACTAATAGCTACTAATCATTTACCCAAATAGTAATAACTAAATAATAATATTTTAAAACTGTTTTTGACTTAAAGCATTTATCCATATCTAACCGGTAGTTAAGTATTACATACGAGCAATGATTTAACAGGTAATGGTTAACAAACATAATAATTATAACTGTGTATCGGGTTCTACAGGTGTATCGATACGATCAGTGTATTGATACTCAATTGTGTCCACTTCTCTAAAATATTGACCAAATCTGACCCGATTTGGCCAATCGCTCGAGAATAGGACCACTGAAAAGCAGACCATTAAATACAGGGTAAAAGCGACGTAACCGATGCCAACCACGGCTACAATACTATATATCAAAGTGTCTCCCTTTTCAATGACCAGATTAATGACGAAATATATGTTAATCATTATGATAACAATTGATACAAGAGTGGCAAATGTTTTGCCCGCCCGTCCGTTCACAAACTTGGGTCCCATCACTTTGAGAGAACACGTGAACGTTAGGGTCGGTATCAAAGCGAACGGCAACATAAGGCTCATTAAGGCGTTCAGGTAGTCATTCATTCCGGTCAAGTGCTCGATGTCGGACGTGAGTGTGACGGCCAGTGTGGGCGCTATGGCTATGGATCGGGTCAGTAGGACTCGCTTCCAACGCGACCACTGCAGGTTCAGATAGCCCTCCATCACGAACTGACCCGAATATGTGCCCGTCATTGTGGACGACTGGCCGGCGGCGAATATGCCGACCGCCCATATATACATGGCGTACGATCCGAAAGCACAGCCCAAGTAAATACCCGCCTTATATGTGTCGGCCTCAAACGGGTCGGTGTTGTCCTCAAAGCCGTCGATGTCAAACAGCGAGTTGTTGGTCGCCCGACACATGTTCAGCACTTCGGCGTTGGTTTTGCCAAAGATTTCGTGCGCGAAGACCGACGTCACCGATATGTTGATCACTAGCGATACCATTAGCGCTACGATAGCCTCTATAAACACGTATCGATTGGCGTCTTTCACTTCATACTTGATTTTCCGGTCCACTCGTCGCGACTTTACGAGCGCTGAGTGTAGGTATAGGTTGTGCGGCATTATTATGCAACCAATTATGCCCACTGCCTGTAGCACAGCATCGTTGTCGCAGTCCTGACAGTACGGTATGAAAATACCTTTTGCTATATCGCTGGCCATGGGTTTGACTTTGACAAACTCGAAGCCAAATGTGCCAACCATTATGAGTATCAATGCGGCGAAAAAGACCTCCAGTTTTCTCAGACCGTATTTGTCTAACAGTAAGAATGAAAATGTGTCCAAAATGGTTACCAAAACGCCCGCATATAATGGCACGACTCGATTGGACAGTAGATATATGGCGACTGCCGTTCCGATCACTTCTTGCATATCGGAACCAATGATAGCGATCTCTGAGCAAATCCATAGCAAAAGTCGCGGTACTTTTCTGTATCGTCGGTAACCAATTTCGGCCAAATGTTTACCCGTAACGACACCGATGCGAGCGGACAGGCGTTGGAGGAATAGACCGACGATTGTAGAGCTGACCAAAACCCATAGTAGTCTATATCGGGCCACAGCACCAGATTTGAGGTCCGATTCAATGTTTCCCGGATCTAAGTATGCGATAGACATGAGAAAACCGGGACCCGTGAAGGCCAACAGTTTTCGCCAACTGAATGAATAGTCATCGCTCTGAGGCACCGGTACTTCGGCCGTGAAATATGTGTCCAACTCTTCATTTTTCTTTCCTTTCTTATTATACTGTATGTCATCTTCAGTGACATTATTTTCAATTTTCATATTCATTATGAATATAATGTGTGTTTTTCTAATTATTATTAATAGACAATTAAATATTGACTTTTTATAGCAAATAAACTTTTTTCTTTCTTTTTGTCCTTATGTTTGTTGAATGCAAACATTTATTTTACAAAAACTCGATAAACTCATAGAAATCCATCGTTCTTATCATTAATTCTTGTGAATTCTTTGGTATAAAATAATTATAAATTGAAGAAATTTTCTGATTCTTTGGTAATATTATCTGAAATTATAACAAAAACAACTTTAGATTCTTAAACGTAAACACGATATATTGTCAAATTTATAAATAAACAAATTTATGTTTTAATTCAAATTGCTTAGATATAATGTGAATTGTTTTGGTTTAGTTTGTAATTCAAACCAATATTGCAATTGTTATTAACTAATGTTTTAGTTAAATTTAATGTTTATAGGAAATTTAAACGTATATGCCATTGATGATCATGCAATAAAGTCGATTGAAATGCTTATTGTATAAGAATTTCCAATTAGTCTATAGTATATAATTTGCCCAACTAGTCTTAATTTTAATAAATATATTTTGGGGCAAACTTAAAACCACGTTATACTTAATTAGTGTTCATAAGTCTTACAATGTTAGTCTCTAATGATTGATACAATATTTAAATTTTTCAAAATAATAAAAACTAATAATTATTATTTAATTTATTGAAATTCAAATCAATAAAAATAGTATAAATACTCTTTGATTAATAATAATGCTCTCAACTCCTAATCAATTTCTTGGTAAGAAACTGAAAACTTTTAATATAAAACACTCACAATTTGCAAACATTTATTTTATAATGTCTTGTTTTATTAGAAATGTAGTTTCTTTTGAATTAGTGATAAAAATAATTGATCATCATTTCTAAATATAACTATTATTATATCTTTTATCAATTAGTATTTTCGTTGATATGCTGTGTAAAGAGTCGACAGTCACCAGGAGGTAAATTTAACTATATTTTTAATTATAAATATTAATTTTAATCATGAATTGCCTAAAAGACATACTATGGAGCTATTGGGGCAAAAAGGGCGAGAATTCGTGGGAAAAGGAATTTGACAAATGCAGGGGAAGAATGCAATCACCCATTAATATAGATACTAATAAACTGATTGTCGACGAGTCGTTGAACATTGAATTTATTAATTACGACAAAGCGGTCAATAAAGCAAACATGTTTAATACTGGATATAAAGGTAACCTTTAATTTATTAATAAGTTATACACTATTTAATATAATTTGCAAAAAGTGGGATTGAAAAAGTATGCACCAGGGTCAATAGCTGTAACCACTTATTTTGTCTAGCATACTACCCTGGATATACATTTGACCAGAATTTGCACAATTTCTGTATTAAATATAAATATAATTTAAAAACTTACATAGTTTTGAATTAAAAAATGATGATTCTTTATATGAGAAAATATAATACAATAACGTATTATAATTATAAAATCGATACAATGATAAAGACCCAAAAACTTATTATAAGATCACGAGAAATAGTTATCACAAAGTTTTCTCAAAAGTTATTATAAAAAGTCAATAATAATAATCAATGAGAAGATGTCAACGAAATAAAAGCATTTAATGAAATCACATCTATATATAGTGTAGGGAATCAGCAAATAATTAATTCAAACTGTATTGTAAGAACATGCTGTATAAGCGCTATAGGATTCTATAGGATTGCGTAACATTGATCTCGATTAACATTTAAATGGTGTAGTAATGATTTTTATACAAAGTGTCATAACTATAGTTCAGAGGTATTCAAACATATTTTGTTATCAAATAGGGTGTAATCCGAAGAATAGAGTTGGAGGGAAGAGACATTTCATTGTAAGGTTATTATAGTGTGTATTAATATTAAGTAGTTTACAAGTAAACGCTTACATAATTCTTTCTTAAGTGGTTTGAATTACCTGATAAGATTATAATCATAAGTTTGTCCTGACTTAAATAATATAAACCCGGTCGTTTTGGTTATAATAAATAACCTTAACTAAATTAAACAGTTGGAATTATAAAAATTCAAAAATCTATATAATGCACTGAAGCATATCAAATATTATTTTTAGAAATCATCATTCTGTGTACAAATGAGATATAATAGTTGAGTAATAATAAAACTAGATTAAATTGCTTCAAATAATAGCTTTTATAAGATCTTCAGTATAGATATAATTTTAGATTAAATTAGTTTTCGAAATTAGAAATCTATAAAAATAAAACATATTTTATGTTCAACAGTACTTTTGATTACCTTCAGTACATTTGAGAACAAACCATTTAATGTTTTAATAAGAAATGCATAGATAATAATGATCATTTTATATCATGATGAGTTTTGATTATTTAATAAATATAATTGCTTCTCCGAAATACTGCATTTAAAAACTTTATTGTATTTTTAAAATATTTGCATTGCATTCAAAGTACGACAAATGTCACGAACTGTTATGTGATGTTAACTTTTACTAAATTTGATCAAAAACTTAAAGCCAAAATTATTTACCATTATATTTGACTGAATAAACGATGATTTTCACTAATCTGCTCATTAATTCTAATCAATAAATATCTAAAATATCAATATTTGTTTTCAATTTTCAATACAAAAAACTCATACATTATTTAATTACTTTTGATTATTGAATGCATTGAACAAAATAACGCAATAAAACTTCTTATCAATGACTTTGCAACGAATGATATAAGTTATATCATATAACTGTTTGAAAATATTTACACAATTTATAAATTTTTGTGTTGTATTATAAACAACAACATATAATTAGATTTGATAAAATATATTTCATATACAATATAGTGTATACGGTGTAAAAATTATATGAATACCAATTTTAACAATTTATTATTAACTAAATTAATTATGTAATATAAAACATAATGATCGTTAATCTCAAACTATGACATATTCTGTAACGCATAACATTAATATAAATTAATGTGTTGCTAGTAACAAGGTAATTGTTTAAAATTTTTTAGTTTCAGTAGTTCTTAAATTGATTAATATTTACATTATAAATTAATAAAATAACATTGCATTTTAGCATTTTAATAAAATAATCTGAGAATTTACACATAACTATACTATACATATATTTTGTAATTTATATCCGCTTATGACCAATTCAAAATGGTATTTAATTTATTTGTAAAAATTATCATATCTACCATTAAAACTAAATATTAATAAGAAAACAATTAAAAGTAACTACCGCGTTTTATTACTAATAAATTATTAGCTATTAATACTAATATATTATCGATAATTTGTAAATGTGTAATAGTGAAAATAATGAGATTGATAAAATATCCAAAACATACCAATTAGTTTATATCATATTTATTTCCAGTACTTTAATTGGAATTCACTTAAGATTATGAAAATGTTAAAACAGTAGTGTTTTGAAAACAATTCACTGAATATATAGTGATATTTTACTCAATAAAAACAATACAAATATTAATATTAATATTAAATTAATAGATATTTGAATGCAATTTTTGCAAATTAGATGTTTATATTATTTAACTGTTTTAAAAGTCCAATAAATTATTCTATATTTAAATGAATTCATTTATCAAAAATTAAAAAGTAAACACTATTTGAACAAACATTTACAACTAATCCTTGAATTTCACAATTCATTGCAAACACAACACATAACTATTAAAGGAAATATTGTTGCAATTATACAATATATTGTACACATGTATTTGGGATTCAATTCATTTCTATGAGAAATCTAATTCCTATTAATAATGTTTTTTATTACTGAAATTTAATAGCATTGATATACAGGTAATACAGATATGCAGCCAAATCCTAGCGTTATATTTATAATACAAGTGTTTATTTACCGCAATCATTAGTGTTGATACTGTTTTGTTGTTTTAATTTTATCAATGTCTAATGCAAAGGTGCAAATCTGATGAACCCGTATATAAACTTAAAGTTAAATTACATTGAATTTATTGGAAATTTGTTTTAGATATTAGTTATTGGTTTTGTTTACATACAAAAGGTGTTCAATTGATTTGATATTTAATTACTTGATATTTTCAGTGAGATATATCATACTTTTTATCAATTAATTAATACATTTGTGTATAAAAATAGTAGTGTGTGGAGAAACGATAGGGACAGGTATAGACATGAGACAAATCACGTACTCATCGCTTATTATGTTATCTAAATATTGGATTATAAGTTATTAATTCAATTCAAATATGGATTAAATATTTGTTTGACAAAAATAAATTGTGATTATTAAATCATTGTATTAGGAGTTTATTAAATATTGCCTGTAAAACATGCATGCAATCACATTAATACATAAGTTATTAAATGTACAATAAAATATATGATAATAAATAACCTTGTTCATTCATATTATTTTACAATAATAATTCATTTTAATTGTAATTAGCTATTCTATTCACTGAAAAAATAAGATTTATCATGTAAGCATGATAAATATTCTATAGAATATAAGCGAATATTCTATTGCATTTTGAAATTAATTATAAAGTTAGACCAACCTAATTAATATTATTATATAATTTATTGTATTCAATAAATTATACATGAATATATTGTAAAAACAATTGATTGCACAAATGAAATATACAGTATAAATGGTATGACTTTGAATTGACATCGAAAATGTAATTGCAGTGAAGATATACGCGGATGAAAATAGTGCTGAAGATGTGTTCATCAGTGGTTCGGCGCTCAATAACCAGACCTATAAGTTCATTGAATTGCACTTCCATTGGAACGATGGGCCAAACAATGGGTCCGAACACGCAATCGATGGCCAAAAGTTTGTGATGGAGGTATAGTATGGCTATATATGGCTACACATTGGCATTCAATGATCACTGGATCTAATCACTGACTTTTGCCATTCAAGTGCCATATAATGCACCGCAATATTAAATACAACGACATGGAGACGGCCAACGCTCACGACGACGGCTACGCTATCATTGCTCTCGTATATATCGTAAGAGACTGTCGTTAATACAGTATAATTAAAATTAATTTTAAATTTACAATTAGTTATTACTTGACAATAGTGTTGGAAAATGATTGATTTGCTAAATAGATGTTTTACATTAATGTATTAGGAATTGGATGAACCAAACCTAATGTACGATATGATTACCGATCACTTGCATAACGTTCAGGACATCGGACAGCAGTACACGTTTGAAACTTCTATCTATTTAGAGAGCCTATTGCCGCCCAATCGGGAAGTATTTTATCGGTACTTCGGTTCGTATACCACTCCCCGTTGTAATGAAGCCGTCACTTGGATTATATACCCGGAGCTCGTCTTTATTGATAAAAAACAGGTCTAACTTTTTGTAAAATAAATAAATTGTTTATTAATTATATACAGAAATATTTCAAATAATTTGTTAATATTTTAGGTAAAAAAGTTTCGCACTTTATATACGACAACGTTTGATATAAGGACCGGTCATTTGAAGCGAATGGTCGGCAATATTCGTCACCTGCAGGACATCGGCAACAGAAAAGTCTACACTTCGGCCGCAAACTTGTCTCATAGACCAAGTCTTCTAACATTTATTATTATATTAATTAATATTAAAAATATAATTGTATATTTAAAGCGACTCTAAAGTCCACACTGCTTATTATCAGTCAAAATTACCTGTAAATAGTATATTTTATTTTGTCTATACATTCTTGTTTGTGTTATTTTTGATGTTTATATAAATTAATAAATATGCAATTAAAACAATTTTTGTTGTGGTTTTAATTATAAAATTACATAATAAATTAGTTCATGCACACTTATTACTTGTTTATGTTAAAAGTAAAACATGGTTTGTATTTATTAAAAAATATTTTCATTTAGAAATGTCTATTATTTTGAGAAAGAAAGCAATCGTTAAAACCATAATCTATTAAGAAATAATTAAAAATCAATTAAAATGCAAAGAAATAAAAAGTTAATCAATAATTAACAACTGAACCAACGATTACCTCAAAAGTCCTATTTTTATTGATTACAAACATTTGCCAGCAATAAAAACCAATATTTCTATCGCTTAGCTTTTCAATCGCTGACATCAACTAAATTCACCAACAATTAAAATGATGACATTTAATTAAACGTATAAATTGTAGCATGTTAATAAACATAAGATTTACAATAAAACACATATCTTAAGCTCAAATATACCTTAACTTTTGTGTAAACGAACTCAAATGTGATGTTAATTTGAGGTAAAAATGAATTTAAAATAAGATATGATTTATTAGTTTCGGTGAACACTGAAGAAGAAGTGATTAAAATGAATATCAGAAACGATGCGAAACAGAGTATAAGATAATAAAATAGTAATCTATGTATTAATTCTAATGCACTAAATATAGCGATAAACATTGAAAAGTTGACTGATGAAATTAGTATAGCTATCATCACAAACAAAAACACTGACCAATAATTATCATTAAACGCTTGAATCTCATTATGTATTGAATTTAATGTTTGCAAACAGTTATTAACGAGTTTTGTTTGGATCACTCGATGGCCATAATTGCAGCCAATATTCTCCAGACTATTATTTAATTGTTTGAGTTTTAGTCTCAGATAATAGCAAATGATATAATAGTATGCGATTTGAAAGACCAAAAAATTTGAGCAAAAATAAGAAAAATAGACAAATAATTGTATGAAAGGAAAGATGAATAAAATCTGTACTCCATTTGCGTTCACAACGAGAGGAATGATAGACAATAGGTATGAGAGAGGGATAGATGTCATGACTAGAGCTTTAGATAATTTTAATACAATTTGAGATCTCTTTAGTAGTTTATAGACAATTGTTTTGTCAGTAATGCCAACACTTAAAGGCGATACCAATCCGGACAACAATTCAAATGGCTTTAGATATGAAGGTTTAATATCATTGAAATAATACCAAAAGTGAAACAAATGCGAGACAATAGCTATTAAACCGAAATTAATACAATTTATACTCAAATGATACCGTATTTGGGGACTAATAAAGTAAATCCAATCCCCGATATATATCGATAAATTTGAATGATTTTGCCATAAAAATAACGAAATAAACATTTTTAAAGTATACGTTAAATTCACGGCAAACACAATGAATGGATTGTAAAGTGTTTTCCGCTTTACGGCTAAATTATTGTCAAAAAGAGACAATCCGTATAAATACAAGTGATTTCCAGCAGATTTGATAACCAAATGATCGGACAATCGTTCAGTTATTTTAATATTGTCTTTATATTTAAATTTTACAATATTTAAACTTTTTAATTTCATAACTAATTTGTAGTTAAATCAAAATTTAGTTTATTGACCAATTATATAATTTATTATGTATCAAATTACGAACATTAAACTAGTAATAATTTCTAAAATTTCTATTCATTTCATAATAATCATTTAGTAGTTAAAATGATAATTAGCATTTAATTATTAAAATATAAACAATTTTAATTCATTATAATAACTAATTAACTATTGATAATATTAAAAACTTGACTTAAATTTATAATAAATTTAATTACTTGCTAAACTTGAACTGCACTATAGTTTAATTTTTACATTACTTTACATTACAATTCTAATATATAAATATGTATATTAAAATAATAAATATTAGTTATAAATAGACAATTATTGTATATAATTAAAAGACGCTAATTGATCAAATTAATGGTAGTATAAATATTCTTATTAAAAAGTTGTTTGAAAAACTATAATTTATTTTAGTGTAATTTGGAAATTTCCAACAAAATATTTTTAATAATTTCCTATAAAATACAAAATTAATTAACATATCCATGAATTAATGTAAATTATCAAGTATTAAGACAGTTAATGTAATAATATGTACAGGTACATTAAAATCACTATAAGATTATAAATTATTAAATATTTTAATATTTATATTTTTAAATAAACATTTATAAACTGGTGTTTTCAGCACAAAACACATTTGGCTTTAAAGTTCGTTTGGGACTTAAGATTGCATTTATAGGCATTGATTCAAACTTATTGTTAAAATTAATAAAAATGTTTAAACATTAATATCTAATCATTAGAGTCTAATGTTAAAATATTTTATGAATTATTACAATAAAAAGGTTAATCGAGTTTACAATAAGTAAATGAATAATAAGTTATAAATGATTTTTAGAAATATATTTTTTATTGATTCATTGATTGGTTGGTGTTTATTGAGTTAATTGAAACAACAAATGGGCTAAAATGTATGTATAATTTATTTTTATTACATATTGACTTTAATATAAATACAATTTATGTTGTAATGGGTTTTAACTTAAATTTCAGATTTTTTTAAAAATTGGTCTTAAATTAACTGAAGAAATGTCTTTCAAGAAATACATTTTAAACGATGATATTTTATGTCTCATTTTCAACGAACTGAAAATCAAACAATTATTGAGATTAGAGTCGGTTTGCAATCAATTCATGGATTGTGTCGGAAGTGCTCTCCAGAGGAAGAAAAGAATAACAATTGGAAAACATAGTTATTATTACTATAATATATGCAGACATTCATTACCAGTCGATGACATCAGAGATGCAGTGATTAATAATAACAATGAAAATAAGTATAATGTTTTGGATTTAATACTCAGAAAGTGTCCAAATATTAAAAATCTTTATATAAAAAAAGTTGAATTGGATTATAAAACGTTTAAAATAATTACCAATCGGTGTCAACGTCTCAACCGATTGTATTTGGTTTCAGTGAAGATTAAATTTTCATATGAAATAGTAATGTATTTGTGGGCAAAAATATTGAAAAATTTAAAACACATCACTATTCATAACATCTCCCAATGCGAGGAACTATTGGATGTAATCAAAAGGTTGTCTTCCATCACATCTCTGTTTTTTAGAAATACTATAAATGAATCAATAAATTGTCGGCAAATAATCAGATGTTTACCACAAACTTTACAACATCTTAAAATTAAAGGCAATCAATTATCTGATATATCACTGGATGTCTTAATCAGTAGATGTCCTCAACTTAATAAATTGAGTTTACATTCTAATAATAATATTATTGAAATTCAAGAATTAAATCACAATTTCTACACCATTTGTAATAATATTAATTTAATTAAAAGTTTGTGTTTCAATTTCAATGATCTTTCAACTGATGTTTTTACGAATAATATTTATAAATTAAAACATTTACAAGAATTGAGAATCGATTCAAATGTCACTTTAAACACCAATTTAATAGAGCCCATAAAATTATTGCATTATTTAAATTTAGATAACATTAATTGTTTCCCAAAAATGTGGAAACAATTTGCAAAAGTATTCCCAAATTTAAGACAATTATATATAAATAATACTTCAATCAATTGTGAGTGCATTGAAAGCAAAAGTATTAATGAATGCAAACAATGTATTTACAAATGTATGCAATGTTTGTCTAAATTACCGAAATTAAAAGAATTGAATATTAGAAATATGTCCTTAAATAGTGAAGATCTAAATCTATTTATGAGACTAAAAGTCTTGTATTTAATTGATTACAAAGACATCGAAGAATTGGTTTTGTTTTGTATGAATTGTATCGACACAAGAGATCCAAAGACAAAATTTAAATTATTTATAAATAATGAAACTAAAGAAACTCTTGTGAAACGATTAGTTGAAATGAATGTTTGTATTTCCAAATCATTTGTAATCATACCATATTAAACATAATGTATATTAACTTTTAAATTATAATTAAAATAATTAATGTTAATTGAAATAAAGTTAATCATGAAAATAAACATAAATGCTTTAATTTGTATTTAAATATCAATGTTTATAATTAAATATGAAAATGAAGAAATTAAAAATACATTTATGAATAAAACATTAACAATACTTTGGATACAATTATTTTAAACTAAATTAAAAATTTTAACAATGGTTTGGAAATTTTGCCCAAATTTCTTCGCCGAGTTGCCAACAAAAACGTATAACGCTTTTGTCACAATCTTCCGCAAACTATCACCAAAACCACATCCAAACCACTTACAAATCACCGCAAACTTCACAAACCCATCCATAATGACCACAACTACTACTACTGCTTGCAGTCAAACCCAAACCAC